ATTTATAAGAATGTGGTCAATGTCCCAAGATTCCACACCATGTCATTTTTTTGTTTTTTCAACGTCAAAACTTGCTAAAGCAAGGACTTTGTCTCCAGAGCCTGTGAAGAAAGACACACAATTTGAAAAAAGGTTATTTAAATGCATTTACAGTTGTAAGTAAAGAGGGAAATAACTTTCACACAGTGAAATAGGAAACAGTGCATTTACTCCTAATTGTCTACTGCCATCATAATTTCCTTCCTTCTGCACAAATAACACTGCTACACACAACCTGTCTAGCTTCAAGAACATAATACAAAAAAATTTTGTTTACTTTTTTTTATCAGTTCCCTCCTGTAAAGATAGCCTCAGGAACTCCATGGAGGGTAACTATGGTTTGGAATTGATTTGATGGCAGCTGTTATTTTTTATAGTTGCATTTAGCTGATGAATAGTTTTAAAAAAAAGTTTGCATAAAATGTCAATTGTTGTTGTTGTTAAATGTCTATGCACAACAGTTCTGAACCCTCCTCTATCCTGAGCCAACCTCATGGTCTCCAACACTCCCACCCCCATTTGAGTTTAAAAGTTTTGGGAAATGAAACCTATAAAATAGATTTATAAAGAAAATCATTACAGCTTTACTGTTAAAAGTCAAGGAATGTAATTTATCTCAACCACAGCACACTTTAATATGGAGCGCTAATATATTTCCAGTTTTCAGAAATACAAAGGTACTCACCAAGATCTGTAGAGACTTTCTCAAACTGGCTGAGTATAGCACCTGCATTTGCTGACAAGAAGGCCTCATCATCTGCAGTCAGCTAAAAACAAAACAAATTTCAATCTACTCCATTCAAATGCTACAAGTGGTTCTAAGAACCACAGTGAAGAACATGTTAGGATTATACACTAAAACATAGTCCAAAAAGTTCTGTACCAGATATATCACAATTTTACTTTATATTTAATGTTAAATACTGGTACCTTTTCTCCAAGTTTCCTGAGAGTTGTTAATATTTCCACCTTCTGTTGAGTATAAAGGTGTCTTTCGAGCTTTCCCACCATCAGATCTCTATCCATCTGTAACAGATGAATGCAAAGGTACACAGTATTTAAGTGAGTAAAACATTCTGAGTATATTAAAAAAATCCAGCTATTCAGGCCTATTTCTTTTTGAAAATAGTCTTCTAGCTGACTATTATGTTTGCCTTTTACTATTTCTAGAGTTCTCTAAAATCAACACTCTTGGAAATGAAAAGACATATTGTGTTGGGAAAGTCGACTGTCAGGACCTCTCCAAAGTACTTAAAGAAAAATGATGTCAGTCTGGAGACTAACATGTGCCTGATACAGGCCATGGTCTTTGCAATCACTTGCTATATATCAGAGAATTAGACAATGACTAGGGGTGATAGAAGGAGAATTGATACCTTTAGTTGTGGTGTTGGAGAAGAGTATTGAATATACAATGGACTGCTAAGAAAACGAACAGGTTCATCCTAGAGAGAGTGAAACCAGGCAGCTCCTTGGAAGCAAGGATTCTGAAGCTTCATCTGACATACTGTGAACATGTTGCAAGGAGGGATCAGTTCTTGGAGAGGGACGTCACGCTTGGGAGGGTGGAGGGACAGTGCAGGAGAGGAGGACCTTCAATGAGATGGATTGATTCAGTGACTGAGGTAATGGGGGGTAGGTGTGTCGGAGACAATAAGGTTGGCACAGGATAGAGTAGGGTTTAGGCTGTTTTACATAGGGTCACTATGAGTCACAGGTGACTCAATGGCACATAACAAAAACAACATAGTTCTTTATAATATATGGAATTGATTCTGCACCATTCTAATTAGCATTAATGCTAATTATAAGCATTACTTATCATAATCATTGTAATCACAATCAGGTAGTCCGTGACCTACATATAACATATTTGAGTTATGGCAAACTACACTTACAACAGCGTTTTAAAAAATCTTATTATAGTAATATGTATAATGTTGGAGTTCGTAAAAGGACTATACAGACATTTCTTACTAATTTTCTGACTAGAAACACCATACTTATTCCCAGGGATAATTCAGATGATCCAGAATTTTCCACAAATGGAGTTATCACTGCAGCTGACAAAATGCCAATATTATCCATCCATTTTCCCCTGGATGGATATATTTTTAAAATATCTTAAAATATACCTGTAAGTATATGTAATGTTTCAATCTGCAAAGGCAAAGACTGAATTTATAAATATATTTATAATAAAAAACAATGAAAATGAAAACATTAAAAAAATGAGATACAGATTATGTTGGAACTGACTTATGATGGAGTAATCTAAATGGAATGCTATCACAAATCAAGGATTACATGCATTTTCATTCTAAACTCTACTAAAGAATTAGAAGATGAAAACTTCCTTTACAGAAAAGCTGTCCTCCAAGGAGGGGGCTCTGGTGGTCTATTCTATATGGAATTAATGTTGCTAACTCAAAAACCATACTTCTCTGATGTTTCAAACCCACCAGTGGCTCCACTAGAAAAAGATGGGCAATCCCCTCCAGGGCAATTTACTACCTCAGAAACCCACTGAAGGGTTAACTATGAGGGTTTTTTGTTTTGTTTTTAATATCCTCTACCAACTCATTTCATTAATTGAAAATGTGGTTTGTAGTTTAAACAGGATAACAAAATTAGATCTTCTGGAACTTCAATTAAATATCACCTTCACCATGAGAAACAATGCACACCATGTGTTCTATGCATTGTTATGATTCTAAGTGCTTTGCTTGTTAAAACTGCCAGTTGATTCCTATTCACAGTAACCCTAAAGGACAGAGTAAAACTGCCGTGTGATTTCTATGGCTGCCATCTTTACAGAAGTAGACTGTCACATCTTTTCCTATGAAGTAGCTGGTGAGTTTAAACTTTCAACCTTTCAGTTAACAACTGTGTAACCAAATGCTACAAGGGTTCCTTCTAAATGCTTCACAAATATTACTAATTCATAGTTCTCATGACATTCACAAGAGAAAGAGGACTACCTTTATCACCGTTTTACAGGTGGAAAAGTTGAGACACGAAGAGGTTGAATGAACCACCCAAGGTACGTGTTAGTAGTGGGGCAGGTTCAAATCCAGGCACTGTGATCCATGTCTATACTTTCACTTTGCTATTTACTTGTTTGCAAATAACTTGCTAATGCTGCCATTTTTCAAGTCTGTAAACAGACTTCTTTAAGTATCAGGTCTTTGAAAGTCTCAGACATCCTTAGATGAGGGAAGTCTGAGCACAGAGAAATACTGCTAATGCATTCTAAAAGAGAACTTTGGGCTTCAGAGTAAACGCAGCATCCAAGTTGAAGTGCTAAAAGGAATTTAAACTGTCATGTGATGATTCAACTTCTACATTCTTTTTCAGCAATAACTGCTCAAAGAACTAATTTTGTCAGAAAACTTGTTTGGGTGGGTGAGTTACTGCTCAGTTCAGTGGATCAGTTTTTAAAATTTAGAATAACATAATGAAAAAAGTCTTAGGAAAATTAAAAATACAGCAATTGGATCAATTCAAAGAGACTTTACCTCTGCTAACCTTGTCCGAAGTTGACCTGGTTGTTTCTTTGCAAACAACCTGATGACTTCTGGAGTTTTAAAGGCCTGGCTGATCGCTGCCTGAATAGCCTAAAACACAAGAAGGCAAAACTATCCAAGACAGTCCAATGAATTGCAAGGCATACTATAACAATTAGGGAATAGACAAAAGACACCAGTAGGAGATCATTTATACATTCGAGCCACTGATAAGTTATTTCTGTCCATCAAACATTATCATAATTTTAGTTCCTAGTTGCTTTATTTGTGCAGGTTAATAAACCTAAATGTCTAACTAAATGAATCCTCAAATTCAAACACTGTTTCTAAAAAAACTTTAAAATTTTTTTTCATATAATATTTAT